CACACACACACACACGCACACACACACACACACATCGTAGAATCATACGAAATTGGAGCGTCTTTACAAAAATACTTTTGACAAAAGCGTCTCCAAGATATTTCAAGGTAATCAGCTGTCCATTATTCACCTTCGCTTTGTTACCATAATTACATTCACGCGTTCTTTAAAATACCCGCAAACAAGAGAGTGTTCAATAATATCGTTTAACACAATGTTTTTTGGCGCTACAAATGGAAGACCCAATATCCAAACAAACTTTTCCTTCCTGAACGTTTTTGCATTCCCTTTGTTTGAAGGAATGCATAATATTTTCCCTTCCCTGTCACTCTTTTTTTCACGTCCGACTCATTCTTCCAACGCGCCCAGGATCGATAGCTTTCTCCGTGTGTATGAAGTGATTGGCAGACCCCGCAGAACACCAGGGTTGGGTGTGGCACTCCATTATCTATGATTTATTCCTCTCGCGGAACGGGGCAGCTCCCAGAGTCAGAATGAGGTTTAGCCTTGAAACTCCAAAGCCAGAGGAAACCTAAGTCACGTCTGAGATCTTTCTTTATAATAATTCCCGTTGAAATTATCACATTTGGAACGCATCGCAATCACATTATATATCTACCCTGGCACTTTCTTTTACAGCGTTCTTGATTTCCGGCTGGTAAACTGCACTCGGGTTGAGTCCGTGTCAGCGGAGATGGCCGTATAGAAACAATGCCATTTGCAGATTGGCAGCTGCCTTTGACGCCGGCCTGACGACATTCTACAAGGGGAACTAACCCTGGACAATCTCGCCGGTTCTCGGCGTCTGCTCAGCGGGGCGTGAGCTAAACAAAGGTCTGCAATTGTTGCAGCAAACATGGTCGGCATCTGACAGGTCTTCGCTCATCAGCTCAGCACGAGGGACGAAAAACAAAACTTAAACTAGACTGCTAAACAAAATAATCGTCCATCTCCAGAAATAAGCCCATCAATCAAGGATACAATTGGGACATCTCCCAGCAGTGTCGTGAAAGTGACGTACAGTTCCACAAAAAGCACCCAAAACAATAAACCATTCTGACAGAGCGCACTACTGGGACAACCGTTCCAGCTATGTGGCACCAGGATCGGTAATTTGACAACGGTTGTACATTCTTGGCCTTGGCTCGTGACTTCAAAGGAGATATTCTTCACAGAAAATACAGGATCCTTCGTGGGGTAAGTAATACAGTGAAGTAAAATGTAATTTGGTGCACTAAATAACAGTGAATTCTTTCGATAATGGGGTACAAATTGCTGGTTTCTTTTCTCTTAATAAATAAACGGGAACGTTCTTCAAAGAATACAGGCAAAGTACCCCTGTTATGACTTAGTGAAAAGAAATAGTTGGAACGTAAGAAAACGTAACCTAACATGTCTGGGTAGTTTGTGTATATGTGGACTTCACTGTGTCTACCTGCTTAACTGCCTTTTTGCTTCCTGCTAATCTTTTTCTCTGTCTATATTCATATATAAAAGTCCATAAAGGGATACATTTGTGAACATACCTAAGAATGCACATGTATAATATTTATACATGTGAATATTTGAAGCGTTCAGCCGTTCGTATTTGGCAACGTCTTTTAAAAATTCTTCGAAATAAAGAATAATGATGACAAACTCGAGACCACCCAAACAAGCGCAGCACAGTCCGCCAAAGAATCTACCACAAGCTAAGTAGGCCTATCAGGTTCAGAAACAAGTAAAATTAATTGAGATGCCTACATATTATTCAGCACACAGAGATTACGAGACTTAGGGGACTTCCCTCCTCTCCCACCCCCCACCCCCCGACCAAACTGGCTATCTCATTTCCCACGTGAGACTCAATTTAGGCGTCCTGAAGTCCACAAAATTAGAAAGTGTCAACTGAGTCTTGTCTATATCCAGGGCCATGTCCACGGTTCGTGGTGACAGACAGTCCTTGTCAACCACATATAGGTCACTGAGCATACAGTTCTCAAGACAGAAACCTCCCCCCTCCCCACCAGCCCCCAAACCCAATCCCCAGCGTCAATGATCTCCATGCCCCCTATCCCACCCCTCTCCACCCCTCCTTTTTTAACATAAAAAAACGTAAAACCGTAATACGGGGTGCCCACTACGTATCGGATCGACGGATCGGGCCGATCGCCCGACTCAGTCGCCTCAAAGACAAAATCGGGCCGATCGCCCGACTCAGTCGCCTCAAAGACAAAGGTGTTTGTTTTCAGTTTCAGGCGACCGAGTCAGGCGATCGGCCCGATTCAGCCGTAGTGGGCACCCCGTATAACACATCGTTGATTTAATCGGCCATGCCCTTTTCTCCGACTGGCGTTATTGCACATTCCGCTTACGAAGGCCTGGGATTCTTGAATTGAAAAAAAAGGGGGTTGGGTGTTGGGGCTCTGGGTGGGGCACTGTTTCAAGAAGGGTGTAAGAATGGATCACAGTACAGCCTTATTGAATCTGTCACATTCTTCCTATCTCTCGTCTTCTGTCTTCTTCCACAAACGCACGCATGTGTGTATGTGCGTTGTTTTCTGAGTGTGTATGCGTGCGTGTGTGTGTGTGTGTGTGTGTGTGTGTGTGTGTGTGTGTGTGTGAGTGTGTGTGTGTGTGTGTGTGTGTGAGTGAGTGTTGGAGTGTGTGCGTGTGTGTGCGTGTGTGTGTGTGTACGCGTATGTGAGTGTGTGTGTGTGTCTGTGTGTTTGTTTGTGTGCGTGTGCGGGTGTGCGTGCTAGCTTAGAAAGTTTCACCTGCCTGTCTTTAATGATTTTTTGCCCTTTTTTTCTTTCTTTTTGTTCAGATTTTTCCCTGCCTGTCAGATAGTCCGTTAGTAAATTAACCTATTATTTTAAAATCATTCCTGTCAGTTGGAACATAAAAGTACAAGATGTCAACCCGTCAATAAAATACGAATATCTAATAGTAATTGTTCACACACTGACAGAACATGGGTTGCTTGATTAGATTCGTCTTCACTCGTATTCAAACTCAAAACGCCGATAAATCCACTGAATTGCAATAATATCAATAATGAATAATAGTTCTTCCGTCAATGTCTGACAATGACCGATGCATAATCTGCAGATGAGAAAATGTCTCAATGAAAAACCGGAGATTTAAAAATTAAGACGAGTTGTGGCTTCTGCTATGGCTAATAAGACTGATTCTGGGTGACAGAGAAGAGTCTGCTGCATTTATCCCTCTAATTAAAAGCTTCATTTCCACTTGTGAGTGTAAGGAGGTTGAAGACTCTTTTCTTGGCTTTAGTATTTCTAATTCGTGAAGCCTATTATAATTTCATGTCCTCTGTGATTGCTGCTCCCATATTAAGTCTTTAAAAAAGTTTTACTAAAAGATTTACGCTCCTTGCAACACAATAAAGTCACATAAGTGCCGAAGATTAGAGGCGTTACAAGAGAGAAACAAACACAAAGAAGAAGGAGAGATTATAACAATAGACGTTTCATAGGGCCGAAGGAGTAAACCACAGCAAAGCGCCCGCTAACTGTCCGCTCATATTAAGTCTGCCAGGAGCTCTGGTATAGTTATTGTAATCATGTTGTAAAATTTTAATGTTATACACCACCATCAACACAGCTTAGATAATTAAGGAGGCAGGCTGATTAAACGTGTCTGTTGGGGTCAAGCAGAAGCAGATACTCGATAAAAGCACCTTCCTTAACAGAAATCGAACTCAAATCTTTCTCAAGCAAAGACGAAACACGTAACCGCTCCACCCATTTACTCCGGAAAATAACTCGCACGATAGAAACACAAAATAAAAACGCCAAGAGAAAATATCTTGATCTACGATCGTAGTTATTTTGTCAAGAAAAAAAAAAAAACATAATCGTCTCGACTTGATCTATTCTTTAATGACAAGTCGTCAGCGTATCATTTCACAATTGCCCAACCCAATTTCTGAGGGTCTATGGATAAAGCTGTTTTAAAAATAAAGATATCAAGCGGCATCTTACAATGATATTATAGTTTCATTCTATTTCGTTATTTCCGCCATACTTTTCGTATTTAAGAAAATACCGAGGGCTCAAGTCGTGGCTCTGGATTAGGCGATTGTATTCCAACATTTTAATAAAATATGGCGCTCGTGGGGCAACTCTCAAGGAAATATGTATTTCAAAACTACACTTCCGATTTCAATACATTCCATAAAATAGATACTCGACCACAAGTAATATATTTGTTTCGTCAGAAACATTTTTCACTTTAGTAATGGTCAGGGAAAAGTTTGTTGGCCAAAAAAGATAGAACTTAAAAGAAAGAACTTAAACCGGCGTATGCAGTGTAGCGGTTAGACACTTGAATATTTAAGTTTGAAGGGAGAAAAAGTGTCAACACCTTGAGATTTAAATAGACATCACCTTCCTAAGAAACTATTTGAAATGGAACCATATTTTTAATTTGTTAAAAGTAGCAAAGTTTTGCGCTTCATCCAATTTTGTTTGAATGTTTATAATATATTGCTTCGAACATTTTTGTTGATTTCTTTCATATTGATAAATGTAGCGTCGTCAAGGCAGAATTTTATGTCCCCCAAGTTTTGTTGAAATTGCTCCAAAGACAACCGAGTCGTTGCCCTTTAAATTGGTCCTTTTTAGACAAACGATATTATAAAGACACTGTCCAAGACGTATACCTGTCTCAGACAGCCACATACATTGAGTGGCCGACTTGAGGTCAAAAACGGCCCTTGAATAAGAAGCAAACAGCTTTAAAAACTCTTTCCATTATCTTCTGTAACTGGTGGCAATACATGATGAGTAGCCACGCGTAACCGCGAAATCAAAGTGAAGAGTACTGAAGTCCCGGAGGAGCTCGAACCGAAGGCTCTAACAACTCCCTAATAGCATCTAATTGACGTGCGGTTTATTCAAATTTACTGTACAGTTAACCCGTGGGACATACAGAGTAGCGCGTAGTTAGGAGTTCAGCCGCTATCACTTATATATTTCAGTCCATGTCTATCGTTGAATATCCGTTTGCAGCTGTCCCAAAGGAACAGGTTATGGGGAAAAAACGCATTTTCCAGGAATGCAAAATCGTTCCAAGCTGATTCAGGATACAAATCTACAGTCTTACGTTTGTGAATCAGAAGCGCGGGACAAGACCGCGTTTGAGTTTGAGTCAACGAGAAACACATCGACACACAATCACGGCCATTTTCTTTATTAATTTCTAGTTGCTGTCCATCCATTGCAGGATGTAGCTCTCTAACTGTGACATCTACTCTGCGCAGACTCTTAGCATGAAGACACATTTCTGGCACCGTCGGGAGTCGCCTGATATCCACCGAGTCGGATCAGACGATTAGATCGCACTGAAGAAAAATGAATAATCTTGTACAAAGCCTCTAAAAAAGGCTTGGTATAAATATGGTGAACACTCGTCCGATTCCGTTTGTTTGTTAGCGTAAAGAAACACACGTCGACGTAATAACGATCAGTCTGAGCCGTGGGAGGGTCATACACAAATTTAATTTTTTTTTAAAGGGATGGGGCAGTGGACGACGAGTAGGATGAACAATCCAACTAGCCATGTTGGTTTGTACAGATATGTCTATTGTCAGCGTTCATTGTGGGAAGAAAAGAGCATATGCGTTTGAAGTTTTGATATTTGCCTTATACGGCAACAATGGCGTAATGTGCTATCTATGCAGTATACGGCTTCAGTAATCCCCTACAGTAAACAAAATACTTTAACGGGTAAGTAAACTTTTTCAGCCATAACAATGAAAATGATGACTATGCTAATAGTTTTTATAAAACAATAACAATTAGAAATACTAATGACCACAACGACGACGAAGATGATGTGATGATGATGACGATGATGATGATAAGGACGATGATGAGAAATAATTAAGCACCATTAGCTACGGGATCCTCATAGCATTGAAAGAATTATTCA